CTATACCAGCGACCATGTCGCGCGCGAATCCCCCCAACGCTTCGGGATCCCGAAAGATCTCGTTCAACGTGAGCGAACAGTATGACATCCAGGATGTCGTTGGCGAGGGTGCCTACGGAGTCGTCTGGTACGTCAAAGGCCCTACCCAAATCCTCGGTAGAGTTGCTGAACTGACCATGATTGCCTTAGCTCCGCGATACACAAACCATCCGGCCAAAAGGTGGCCATTAAGAAGATCACGCCGTTCGATCACTCCATGTTCTGTCTCCGTACTCTGCGTGAGATGAAACTCTTGAGATACTTCAACCATGAAAACATCATCTCCATTCTCGACATTCAGAAACCCCGAAGCTACGAGACCTTCAATGAGGTCTATCTAATCCAAGTAAGACGCTCTGAGGCAATTGAAAATCTTCATTGTGAAATTACTGACACACCATCGCAATTCAGGAACTCATGGAGACGGACATGCACCGCGTAATCCGCACTCAGGACCTATCCGATGACCATTGCCAATACTTTATCTACCAGACCCTGCGTGCCCTGAAGGCCATGCACTCGGCCAACGTGTTGCACCGTGATTTGAAGCCCTCCAACCTGCTCCTCAACGCCAACTGCGACCTGAAAGTCTGTGACTTTGGTCTGGCACGTTCTGCGGCGTCGCAGGAGGATAACTCGGGCTTCATGACGGAATACGTGGCGACGCGATGGTACCGCGCGCCAGAGATTATGTTGACGTTCAAGGAGTACACGAAAGCTATCGATGTGTGGTCGGTCGGCTGCATCTTGGCGGAAATGCTTAGCGGAAAGCCCCTGTTCCCCGGCAAGGACTGTAAGCCTCCTTCTCCCACTTGCGCGTTGTTAAGGATCGCATGCTAATAATACTAATGGAAACCAGACCACCACCAACTGACACTCATCCTGGATGTACTGGGAACTCCAACCATGGAGGATTACTACGGAATCAAGTCCCGCCGCGCCAGAGAGTACATTCGCTCTCTTCCCTTCAAGAAGAAGGTTCCCTTCCGGACTTTGTTCCCCAAGACGTCCGACCTGGCTCTCGATCTCCTTGAAAAGCTCCTCGCATTCAATCCTGTTAAGCGCATCACGGTTGAGGACGCTCTTAAGCACCCCTACCTTGAGCCGTACCATGATCCCGACGATGAGCCTACCGCGCCTCCCATTCCGGAGGAGTTCTTTGATTTTGACAAGCACAAGGACAACCTAAGCAAGGAGCAGCTCAAGCAGTTGATTTACCAGGAGATTATGCGGTGAACCAGAGCATAAGGTGGACGAAAGGGCTATCGTCGGGGCTTTTGGTGGCGTTGCCAGGGCGCAGTGAGATGCTGGGAGGGACGCAGTGAGAGATGGGATACAGAGCAAGGCACGAGAAGACGAACGAAAAGGGCAGAGATGACTCTATAGACAGGCAAAGTGAGATGTGGACAATTAGGCCGCAAGGGTCTTCGAGGTTAGGAAATACAGAGGGACATATGCGAGGCGAGGCAGATCCGGCTGGAGCAAGCTAGATCGTTCATTGATGGATAGGCAAATATCTCTCGTCTAATTCTTTCCCCCCTTTTTTTTTTTTTTTTTTAAAACCTATTCGCCACTTCAGGGTCCATTTCCACTTCTGTGCGAAGAACAATGGCGACGTTGTATGCACTCTATATCCGCAGGCTAGTGGAAACCGATGGCATTGCCTGATGCCTGCAGGTAGTTGGATAAGGAATGCTTTGCTCAAAATGGCGGGTAATTGTCTAAGGCAATTCGCAGAGAACGGCACACCAACGCAAGCAGTGGTTGTAATTCGAGGGTATCATTGTTTATATATATAAACTTCGTAGTGACCGATAAGGCTAAGAATCTCTGTCCACTGGCGGCACCCTTTGCCCACGTTCTTTGTATGTTCCTTCTAGGTAGCCCAATCTCTTGAGGGCCGAGGTATCGTCTGCTTCCGCATGCGCAGACAAAAAGCACAGCCTGTTCGCGCCTCCCACTTCTTCGCACTCTTCAACTCGCACCCCTTCCTACCTTCAGGCCAGTATCCAACTGAGGGGTTTTCGCAGCAGAAATGCCATGCTTGCGGCGCTCTGCTTTGCCTCAGTAGGACCTTGCTCTCCAGTTACTGCGCATAAGAACAACACCGTACGCTCCGTTTCGCCGTGTCTATCTAATGCCACAGGATGCTCCGTAATCAGCCTTTCGTGGGTTCTCTTTTCTCGGCGTGCTGTTTCCGCCGCCCCTGGTCGTTTCTCTCATTCTTGTGGATGGACGAGGTCCCCCGCCCTTGTTGTTTCTTTCTTTCTTTATCCTCCCCTTTCCTTTATTTCCCCTGTTGTTTCGTCGAACCCCCCTCAAGCCCCCAACACCCAAAGCTCGACACCCAAGACACCAAACTTCTCGCCCTCGTCGCTGAGCGGCTCGTTACCAAACGTGTGGCTACGGCCGCTGTGGCCGCGGTCAAGGCTGTCATCAAGCCACAGGCCGTAGTGTCCGTCGCCAGCGCCAACGCTCAAGAAGCCTGTTTCGCAGTTGATATAGTAGTCATTCACGCCCGAGTAGGGAAAGGCTTTGAAGCGAATCGACTCGCTGGGTGCCGGGGACGGTTGGGCGCGGTCGTCATCGTTGAAGGCTGGGCGGGTCGGGCTAGCCACAGTTGTTGACCGTGTGAGGTTGGTTGTGTCGGCAGAGGGCGGTGGTGGCAAGGGTGTGAGGGTGGAGGCGCGCCACAGGAAACATTCCCCATTTCCAAAGTATTTGGGTGCGGGGTGAGGGTATTCGGAGAGGTAAGCGCCGAAGGTCTGGTAAGCTGTTAGCAGGTGAAATTGTTTGCAGGTTCACGGCCCGCGTTGGAGCAATCAACTCACGCCACCAGCATCGTCTCTAACAACCAAGACAAAGCCAACACGCAGCCCTTGATACAAAGCTGCCTTTTGGTACAACGTTGTCAGACTAGCCCCGTCTTGCTCCAGGCTGTATACCAGCTTCCAGTCCTCCATGATTCGCAGTCGTTCTGGCAGCATTATGCGGATTTCCTCGGCGACGCCGGTACTAAGCAATCGCGCGCTGAGTGGCGTGCTTTCCTTGAAGCCGTAAAGGACGATGGGATCCAGCGGTGGAGGGCGGAAGGGGCTCGCGGTACGTTTGACGTTGGCGGGCACAAACACCCTGTTGATGTCGTCCTTGAAGGCGCCGTGGGCCGTGGGCTCGGTGTACGCGTGAGCTAGGTGGGAGGACTCATGATGATGGCTGTGGGGACCGTACGATTCGGGGATATCAGAGGAAAAACGACGAACGAGACCGGACCACATTGTCGATATCATGGAATTGGACAAGGAGGGGTTGGCGGACGAGTGTGTAGGTGTGTGTGCTCCGGATGAGGAGGGTGTTTCCGGGGGGCTTTGGTAAGCCATCGTGTGCGTTGAGCGTTGGCGAGGGTCTATGGGAGGTGCAGGTTTATGGGCGGGAGAGATGGAGAAGGTTCGGTTTGATTGAGATGGCGTCGGTAGCGGAGACTTGGTAGAGGACATTCATTGACGAACGCGCGAGATGTACGGAAAAGCTGTATACGTTAGGTAACTTGGTGGTAGGTCAAACGACCGGACGAAAACGACAGTAGTTGGTAGAATGGGGTAAGCAAGACAAGAAAGCAAGAAGGGTTGGCTGGCAGGCTGCCTAACGACATGTATGATTAAAAAGCCAGGCCAGGCCAGGCCAGGCCAGAGAAGATTAAAGGTAAACGGGTTTGTCGGCGGCGCGACTATGGCTTTTTGGCCAACGGCGGTGAGTTCGGATCGGGTCCCGCTCGCCGTCTTGTTGCGAGTTGCTCTGTGGCAGTCGGGTGGTCCTTCAACGAGGACGTGGACGCGCCAGCGGGGGACGTGGGTTCGAAGGGCCTCTCTGCCTTGACCCGAGATCGCCTTGCTCGTTTGGGATACGGCGAAGGGTAGCTACTATCCTAGTGCCGTCGTTGTAGATGGTTTTGTTCCTCTTGATGTCTCAACCATGACAGTTGTATGACTACTCTCGTTTAGTTTGGATTGGAGCGTGTGCGGTGGGATGATGCGGGACCAGAAGCCAGTTGGGAGGGAGGGGAGGGCAGCCCTGACGTCGTTGGTGGCTCCTGTATCCTGGTTACCTACCGCAGTACTACGATGACCTATCCGTGTTGTGCTCCGTACCCATGAGGGGTAACCAAAGTGCCAGTCAAGCGCCTCAGGGGTACTTCGTTCAGGTATCTTGCCCGGTGATCTATCGCCTACCTTGCTTGACCAGAGACTTGCCAGCTTGGGATAAGCGTAGCCAGAGCTCGGCCAACCTCGCACTGGCCGCCAGCTGTCAGTCATGAGGCCATAATTGCTCATCTATTATGAATTCAACTCCATCCTCGTTCCAAATGTCCCCGGCCACCCAGGCCGGCCGTCCGGGAGCCCGGTCTCGTCTCCGGTTACGTACAAGTCACAGCCTTTGCAGCGCCCAATTATGTTGTAACCCGACTCATTTACGTACAACGCCTACAAGAACCATTAGGAACCAATTAGTGTCGACATGGTTTCACCTTTTGTGAAATTGCTCTACATAACTATTACCTTTAACAGGTTCGCTGCTTCAATCTGCGCCGCCTATGAAGGGTTTCTAGGGGCAGGCGAGAGGCAGCTTCTCTCGTGAAGACTGAGTGATCGTGACAAGGAAAAGAGAGCAACAGGCACAGCATATCTGACCGTATGTGTCCGCCTCATCGTAACACCAAAACACCATGCCGGACCCGAACCTGGATCCATCCTTTTTCGGTATCTTCACACCCATCCTTTCATCAGAACGCAGCGAACGACCGAGGTGACTTCATTGCACCTGAGCCGTCGTCCCGTTCCACCATTGCGTATCGCATAAATAAAAACCGTTTTCTCCCTTCAACCAGCTCCTTCATTCTTTGTACATGAATTGTGCTGCATGATGGTATATGGCATATATATCAGTGAAATGTGTCGTGGAGGCTTCTACAGAGCCTTGCCCACGCTTTGTTGACTTCCTTGGCTGGTCTGGCTCGGCCTACGTCCCGGTTTGCGCTGCTCTCCCGACCGGTAACCTGCCACGGGGCTCTCGGCTTCGTACCGATATGCCGCGGGTCCGCCCGAAGGTCCGACGTCTGGACCTGGATCGCTCCATCCGTCCATGCTCACCCCGCTGCTGTACTTGGAGCTGAAGCTGTCGGAACGAGTGTGCGCTGACCCAGGTACACGCGGTGGCCCACCGCCAGCCTGGCTGTAGTTACTGCTAGCTGGCGTTGACCGGTTGCCAAGCAACTCAGGCCGCTCCAAATCGAAAGGGTCAGAACGAAACTTGTTGCGTCTTGTTGAAAAGCTCTCGACGCTCTGCATTGAGTCCCGGTACATCGAGTCCAGCCGGGGAGAGAACGTGGAACCACTCGGTGGTCGCGTCGTGTTGCCGCCAACCGACGTACCCCTAGATCGTCGGACGTCTGCGACGTAAGTTGTTGGTGGCTTAACAGCCGCCGCTGGTGCCGAGATGGCATTGGAATCCGAGAAGGGGTTATTCGAAGACGGATTCGCCACGGCTAGGGGCGCGGGCTTCGCAGAGTCGTGTGGTAGCGCGTTGATATCTGAAAAAGGGTTGGCTGAGGCATTGTCGAAGTTAAGCCCCAAACCACCAAGGAAGTGATCGCCCGACCCAGCACTGCCCTTGCCTCGGCTGAGCCGCCTGCGCTGAGCCTCTCGTTCGACTTCTCTCTCATCCATCCCCAGCAATGTCAAGAAGTCAGGCTGTCCGCCCGTGGCAGCCTTGCGCTCCTTCATGTCGCGGGACGCGGCGAACGGATCCTTCTCAGCATTCTTGTCGCCCCGAAGGCGCCAGTTGAACTTCATGTCCGCTCTTAATCGTTCCCACCAGTCCTTCATCCGGTCCTTAGTCGTGACAACGTCGCGGGGACCTCCATGATTCGACATGGACGAGCTGTTCCGGCTGTGTTGAGAGATGTTCATGAACTGTGAGCGGCCGCCGGTAGAGCTACTGTCACGATTGCGTGACACCAGACCTCCCACTTGACCACGGAACCGGTTGAAATTGTATCCAAGGGCAGCTTTTAGTTTGGCTGTACGCGGCGTCGGTCCCAGAGATCCACGGTCAATGACAAACTTTTCGCCAGTCCTGAAGCTGGGATCCGTCGACAAAGGCGTGAGAAGCGTGCTCCGACGCTTTCTGAGCCATCGCTTCCTCCAGAACCATAGAAGGAAGCCAAGCAGGCCTATGACAGCCGCAGCACCCACTACGCTCGAAGCAATCACCACAGGTGTAGCCACGCCACCGGATCTGTTGCTGCCCTGCGAAGAAGGCTGACTGCTCGCGGGAGCGTTGTTGCCGTTCCCGGCCCCGGCCCCGGCCTCGCCCGCGGCAGTGCCTGGGTTGAGAACCGTAGGGGCAGCCGGCACAGGGGTGCTCAAGCTTGCGGGTGGAGGGCTGACGTCGCTCAGCGCTGGCGGCGTCTGAGCTGGTTGCGTGGGGACTGCGTTGGCATCAGTCTGGCTGGTTCCTGGAGCGATTGGAGGTATGATGGCAGGAACGGAGGAGGATGAGGAAACAGGAGGCAGTTGAGCAGGGAGAGGCACACTTTGGGGAGGTATGCTAGGAATCTGCTGGAATGTAGGAATGGTCGCCGGCGGTTCCGCATCAACAAGTGGCGGCGTAGAAGAAGAAGAGGGTATAATTATGGGCAACGGAGGGTTAGAGACCACGGGAGCAGGCGGCGCTTGTGTCTGCTGTATTGGTGGTGGTGGTGGAGGAGAGGAAGTCGTCACTGGCGGTGGAGGGGGTGGTGCAGGAGGGGGTGGTAATGAGGAGCTCGTCGTACTCGCTGAACTGGTAGTCAATACTAGCGGCGGCGGCGGTGGTGATGTTGTTACCACGGGCGGTGGCGGCGGCGGAGGAGGAGGTGCCACGGAGGGTGCGCTTGTCTGCGGCGGAGGCGGTGGAGGGGTCGACCGTGTCGTCGATGAAGTTGTCGATGTCGAGTGCGACGTACTCGTCGATTGTCGATTCTGGGAGCCCGATCTCGTCTTCGCCCCTTTCGGCACAGCCGTACACCTCTTTCCATTGAACGTCGTAATGAAGGCCCCCTCCGGGAGGTTTGATCGGTTTGGACTCGACATTGTCGTAGCGCGTTGCGATTCCAGTCGCAGAGAACCGTGGGGTTGAGAATCGAACAGTAACCCCCAGCGAGGGAACAGAACAATGAAAAGACAAGAACTAGCAGAAGCCTAGCCGGCCATCTAGGTCGATCGGTAAAAGCTCATGAGGAACCTGGTTGAGAAGAAAACGCGGCCACGAGCCGATGCGGACGAGTCGGCGGAGTTGCTGTGTGGCGGAGGTTTATGAGCGAGAAGCGAGCATTCACAGGGCAAGACTTTGTCGTCGATGATGAGAAGTGAATAGTATACAGAGGGCGAAGTGGAATAGCCAGCGGGTCAGGCCGGGCAACTGTGGAATAGAGCAAGTCGACGCCAGCGGCGGTATCGTGAGAAGAATCGAAGGGCAGGTAGATCGAAAGTGGCGGGATGAGGAGGAAAAGGGAAAAAGATTGGGGTGAAGGAAGTGTAAGAGGAACGAAAGAGGGTCAGGCAGGGTAAGGCATGGGGAGGCAGGGTATGGCACGGTAAAGGAAAAAAGGGCGTGGTGTGGTTTGGTTTGGAGTGGACTGCATCGGTAAGGTAGGGTCTGAGTCTTGACTGAGGCTCGCGGGATGTCTCTCCGATCGTGCGGGACAGGGACGGGAACCACACACACTTCTTTCTGGGCCTCTCACAAACAGACACCTCTACTGCGGTATGCTACATGCAAGCAGGCACTTGCGTGTTACATGGGACAGCATGGGCCACATCCATGATCGGGGTTGAGGATGGATGAGTGCAGTCTGTCTGGAGAGAGGGGGACACACACACACACACACACACACACACACATGCACAGAGATAGAGAGAGAGACAGAGAGAGACAGAGACAGAGGGGAGGATGAGCATTGGACGGTAGGCGCCGAGCGACAGCGTTACTTCGCGTACCTCTCCTTACTTTAATCGAGGACGACCGAGGTGACAGACCCCAGACCCGGTCACAGACAGGCAGACAAGAACAGAGGCAGCGCCGAGGACGGCATGCAAGCTATTGGGGCCGGGGCAGCGCGGTGCAGCGCAGTAGCAGCATCTGCAAGGCCATTACCGATACTTGGCGATGCAGGTGTTTTGCGCAAGGTGTCTCGACTGAATGCCGTAGTGCCGCGCCGTCAGGCCCGTAGTACGGACCAAAGGCATCATACCTAGGTAAGGTAAGTGGCTGACTGACTGACTGATTGACTACCAGGTCGTCGACTCGTAGTATACGGATGCGGATGCGGATGCAGTTGCAGTTGCAGATGCAGATGCAGATGCCGCATCATCATCAGCGACAGATAGGCACGGGCATTGATGGTGTCTGTCGCAACCAGGAAGGATTGAGCAATGTTTGATGGATCTCTGGTGCAGCGCGGATTGGCTGGGTCTCAGGCCGGCCGTGTCTGAGGAGGTTGCTTTGGGAAGAGAAGACGAGCGACAAGCCGCGAGAGCGCATCAGGAAAGCATGGAAGAGGTCTAGACGGAGGGTGGTCCCCCAGAACAAGGGGGTGTGGTCTGGCCGTTGACTGGCAGATGCAGGGCAGGCAGTTGAGCCTCTTGCCCAGCAAAAAGCGCCCAAAGACGGCGACTACCCCTGGTCTGTAACGCACCTGAAGCATCTGTACCCGCCCCCAAAGCAGGAAGTCGCGTTCCAGACTGGGGACCCCCGCCGTTACTCCGCGCTACTACCTGGCTGATTGGGACTGAGAGTCTCCGCCATCTGCGACAGTCTAACCGGGCATCTTGGAGTCGAACCCCCTGCAGTAGCACAACGCCTCACACTAGGTAGGTGGCTCCTCTACTGTGTAGGCACCTATGCACGCCGTAGGCAGTAGGCAGTGGGCACACTATTGTCACTGTGAGGAAACGACGACGTGCCCTTCCTTTTGGCCATGAAAAGAAACCGTTTGAACATGGATGATATGGGATATGGTTAGCTTCACTACAAATTCTTAGAAGAAGGAGGACAAATTTGAAGACATGCCGTGAAGTTGCATTCTCCCCCCCCCCCCCCCCCCCCCCCCCCCCCCNGACATGCCGGGAAGTTTCCTTCCCCCCCCCCCCCCCTCTCCTCCTCCTCCTCCAACACCATCCACGTCAACTTCGACTTCGTTGGTGTCTGCCGTCATCCAACGCTTACACCATAGTATATATCTCTCCGGCCATGTCCGGACAGCACCCCGGACAGCGCATCTTGGCCGCGGTCGCAGTGCTGGCCCCTTCGCTCCCAGATCCACCTCGACAAGCGTCACACTCTCTGGAAATAGCATCACCTCACCCAGTCTGCGCTTTCTCGCCTCTTTCTCTCAAACAAGGGCGGGCCGTACGGATACCTGCAGTGCTCCGTCGCCCATCCGCTCCCTCGCTTGTAGATCCGGAGAAGGCCTGCTGCTGCTACCTCCTACACACCTATTTGCAACTCGCTCCCATTTCGGCCGTATGATACAATTGCCCACACTCTTTCCGCGAGGCGACACCTATCAGACAGGAAACATCACGCAATCAACCCGCTCCTTGAAGCACCGCCGAGTCGGTCGCGGGGGGGGCCCATTTACTGCGTGCTCATCGCCAATGCGCTCTGATTGGAGTACGGATTCACGTTTGCCTCAACATATACCATCCTGCTTTCGGTCAACGCCCGCCGAACCTGCTTCACCTGATATTCTGAGGATGAACGCCAGAACAGGAGGATAGATGGTGAGGAGTAGTTCTCTCGGCATTTGCGCGAGTTCGGCTATCCCCTTTCCAACTTTGAACGGTTGTACCATCCCTCCATCGCTTGCCATGTCATCCATCGTAGTGGTTGCCCAAGACGCGCCAAATCATCTTGACGGCTTGTGATGGGTGTAGAATTGAGATGGTCGGTCCACTGGCAACCGGCTTCTATACAATGAGACAAATCCTTCATACACAGAATGATTCGCTTCCCATTTACGCACAAGATGGTGTCCCTACACCAAGCAATATCCCCGTGAGCCCGTCTCGAGGCATGCCCGCGGTTGTTTAAAAGCTCCTCGGGTGTCTGCTTCTTGTTGCCCCCCGCCCTCCTTCCCCCTCTACACCACTGCGTCAGACACCTAGGGGTAGCCACGTCGATCAACTGACAGGCATCCGACCTCTGCACGGGTGACCCTTGAGAACGTGCCCCGATATCCCTACGGCCTCGCTACCTATCATTCGCCCAGCTTTTTCCTTCACAGACGCATCCGCCGTGCGCTAGGGGACAAGCAACGGGATCGCAGCGTGGTCCTGTCTGGTTGGTGCGTCTCAAATATCGACACGAAAATGCACAACTTTTCTAAACATGCTCAGTGCACAGCCCGAATCCCATCAGCACCACCAAGTCGCGCGCCCAATGGTTTTACATTCATCTCTTCGTCATCACGTCAAGCTCTATAGACGGTAGGCTTGCGAAAAGGCAACTGTGCCTACGGTGTCGCCGATCAATCCGGATGTCGTCCCCTGCGTATGCTGGCCGCAGAAGATTTGTATCAATAAGGACGAGCACCAGCTTGAGGGATATATGCAAACCTGACCAGATTACGACGAATGCCCCGTAAGCCGGCTCATACTCTAGCCGAGCAATCACTTTGCAAAACAACAGTGGTGCACAATATCAAGCCCGCTTATGTTTCTTCTGCTATGTACCATGCCAGATCCGCGGATCATCAAACGATGGAGACAACCATAACCTGCGGTATGAAACCTGGCGAACAAACATTCTAGGGCATCGGGAAATACATGACCGACCCGTTGCATTTCAGATTGTTTGCAGGGCCGAACGACATACGGCCGACGATGACAAAGTTGAGCAACATTGCGCAGTTTGACGGCACACTGGCTTCGTGGTAAAATGGCCGCGATTGGCTCTTGAAAGTGTGGCCAGCAAGGTGTCTCTGAGACAACCGTCAGGATCGTTGGCGGACGGCACGCAGGATAGAAAGGACGAACGTGGCTATAGGTTAGAAAGTCAATCAAAACCAGCAGGCAGTAAAGAGAACACGAGAATGGAACATTCATCTTGGCTGCAGAAAACCGAAACGTCATACGCGTACTTGAACAGTGCTCTGCGTCTGTGTGCAGGAGTGCTCGAGGGTAGAAGATCAGTCGCAGATAGGGCCGTGGCAAGGGCTCAGTAAGGTTAGCATTGCATAGCTGAAGGGTCCCGTCAGCCGAGGACACTAGATATCCATGGATGACTTTGTGTGCACTCATGCTAATGCCACCCCGGCCTAATGTGTCCGATATGGAAGAAGGAGGAGCAAAAACAAGACGGCATGTGAGTTTGTTTGCCCTGGACAATCCAGTCTAGACTGGGCCCTTGCCGTGTTTTGTTTTTACAGGCGTGATGGCATATATAATCAATTCCCGGCACCACAGATACATGTGGCTGTGTGGTAGAACCCTCGGGGGCTTGTGCACCACTCTTTCGCAGCGGCCATCAAATAGAGGCATTCGGGGTGGAGGAAGGACTGAGAGGAGAGGAGAAAGACATTGATTGGCAAGGTTCAAGGGACCAATCAAGAGCTGGTTTTCCCGTCCTGTGAGTCGGTAGGTTTGGTGCATAGTCTGTTGAACAAGTGCCAAGTGGGCGCTCCGCCCTGGACACCAGGACTAGCACCGTTCCGAAACACCGGAGCTCGACCGGACAATTGGGACGGGACTCGGTAACTGTTAGGGGCGCCGAAAGTCCCCGCGCGCTTCCGGCCCCGGGTCGACAGCACAACAGAATCTCTTTTACGGCGGCGACTAGGATCAGCCATGCAACGGGACAGCCGGCTTCCAGTACCGAAGAGTGGGCCCACGTGGGTTCGTCCGGCCGGTGATTATCTAAGCAGCTCCGACGTTTGGTTCCCACCAGCCACACACCTCAGCCTCAAGTAGGTCAGATACCTTAGCCTACCTTACCTACCTTGGGTACGTATAGGGATAGGAATTGTGACAGGACAGCAGTAGCGGGCAGGCAGGGACTTGTCCCTCCCGTCGCGCCATTCGCTCGTGAGGAAATCACCGGCGTCCAAGGGTATCGCAACCCCTGAAAAGAACCAACAAACAACGGGCAATGGACCTGTTGGAACTCTCGCCCGGGGAGGAGAGAGCCACAGAGGTGCAGCAACGCTGCATCTCACGGTGGGCCCTTGACGCAAAGAGTCCAACAGCAGCCCGACAGCGGTGATTAGCACCACAAACACGACGTTGGCAGCGAACAGCACTGGTCGCCAAGCGCTCGCTTCTGCGTCCTCTTCTGCAGCCTCCTCACGTCGTCCACCTCTGCTTGCCTACCTGAGTTTAGACAAAGACAAGAGAGTATCCGTACCGAAGTACCTGGGTAGGGCCATACATACATCCAATACCTTACGACAGGGTCCGCAGACATACATAGTAGCGTAGTGCGCAGTGCAGAGCGCAACCCAACCCAACACGACGGCTAGTCGTACCAACTGCAGACTTCCGTCCCGGACTGAACTGCTGAGCTTCCTCCGGTCCATCTCGTCTCCCACGTTATCCGTACCCGACTGCACTGGATTAATTCCTCATTTTCTCTTTACTCATCTTTAGTTCCCCTTTTCACCCTGGGCGAAGCCGACATCAGTCTTCAACCACACAGTCGATTGGCCTGAGACGAGACTCAACACCCAACCCGAATGTGAAGCGAAGCGAACAGTCCATCTCTCTCGTCTATCCCATCGAGCACAACCTCAACCCCGCTCGAGCTTGCTTTCTCCTCCCTCTCTCTAGGTACCTCTCTCACACACTCCGCTGCCACCGCCGACCACACTGTCTCTGCCTGGGGAGCCGTGCATCTCTTTTCCCAACTACTCTATCTGCGCCCGCCGTTCGTTATCCTCACACGGAACAACTACCCTGAGACGTTCGCGACGTCATGTTTGGCACGTATCCCGCTTTGGGTGAGTCGACCTATTCAATTTGTCTAGCAACTGTACCTACGTTTTATATCATTGTCAAGCGACACCTCCCGCCGCCACACCTGACCATCATCGACAGCGCGCCTGGCCATCCTCGCCTCACTTGATCTTGCCCACTCCGCTCCCGCTCCCGTTCCCGCTCCCGCTTCCATCATCTTCTTTTCGTCTCTTCTCCGACTGCCCTTTCAACATTGCCTCGTGGCCTACACCCCTAGTTGACATACTACCGCCCTACCTCTTTGACCCCCTTTAGTTTGATCCCCACCTTTGTCGTGCCTTCGATCACTCTACCAGTGCTTCACCTCTTCAACCTTAAGCCAAGCTGGCAGACTTGTTGCTCTGGGTTACCTACCACCACACCGGAATCTTGTGTCTTCCGTGCCTGATCTGCTTCAATCGTTTGGCTCTGCCTCCCTGGCGGCCCGTCCGCGGAGCCACTTGGTCCGGCCGGCGGCATCCAGCTCCTGTCCACAGTCCCTGGGACCCATTCCTCCACCGTGTCTGGTCCATTGACCAATCACACCATCATCCTCCTCACCTACGTTGCGCACTGGTTAAAGCTTCCGTCATGTTCCTACTCCAGAATCTCTCGTCTTAACAAGGCTTATTAGCAAACCTGCCAACCGCTGTCAAGGTTGATCCGAAAGACATCCCGCCTCCAACCCCATTGAATTTGCCCACCAGCCGGCCTCAGCTGCACGCTCCTTCGGCACCCTCGGGAGAGACGAAGCCATTGACCTCCGTCTTGCAAAACGTCTATCGCCCGGGAGACGTCACTTCCGCCATCTTTGATGCCCTTGGCATCAATCTCATCCCGGACGCCACTCCCGCAGATCTCATCCCAGACCCCGCGTATCTTGCTGATTTTGAGGCTTGGGATAAGCTAACCCCGGATGAGGCACGTGAGAAGAATGCAGAGACGCGTAAAGTCTTGAACAACGGCGTTCAGTCTCCCGGCTGTCAGACTTATCTTGACCGCAAGCGCGAGTTGTCCCATGACAACGAGGTTGCTTTTCGAACCGTGAGGCGTATTCCTGCACCCAAGGGCCAGCAGCAAGCTCGCCTGGGCAACTCGTACGAGTTCTTTAGGTGCCTCGAAGCATTTACGACGTACTGGGATGACACGTCTAAGCCTTTAAAGACCCCCGAGGAGACGGGCGCAAACAATGCTGTCGACGCAGACAAGACGGAGCGGGACAATCCACAAACCCCCGAATTGCCCCGCGTTATCCGCACTTCAGCTGGCTCGTCGATGCCAGGAGAGTATCGCCAAAGTCTAATCACAGCCTTTCTCAAGCTCGTTGCCTATGATTTCGGTTGCAACGTCTCGGCTCCCCGGACCGAACCCCGTCTGCATATCACGGCCGCTTTGCCGGCGTCCGACAAACGCCCCGAGTCCCTACCGGCGCCTAGAGTGTCCTACTTTGCGTCCGGCTGCACTTTCATCTTCCGCACTCCGCGGACGCGTGATGCCGCCCGTCAAGGCATCATTGAGGGGCCACTCGCAGCCGTCTCTGCCCGCGCGACCACGTCTTTTGAGAACGACAACGACCAGACCATCGACTTGGCCCGCGAGCTTGTTGCCGCGCTGGTCACCGCTCAGCACCGTGCCCGTGAAGGCAAGACGGAGAAGCGTTTTGGCGAAGGCCAATGGTGGACGTCAAAATCTCGTTGGGGCGGTGGTGAAGGCGGCCCCATCGGTCGTGAGGTCGAGCGGGACGCCATCCAGGGAGACAAGGACAATGTCAACTCGGAATCCGGCCAGCCACCCGCCTCCAAGCGTCCGCGCAAGAACATGTCAATTTACGACAACTACCGCATGATCAGGCCACCGTCGGCTAGCTGGGATAAGAAAACGCGCTACGAAGCCATTGGCAAGGTCAAGGGCACTGGCTACGACGATATTTTCGTCATCAGCTCTCTGTTCCACCACGTCAGCTTCTTGCGAGTTCGCGTCCCCGAGCGGCTGCTCGAGGTCCTCGAGGGCGCTGCCGAGGACGATGTGCACCGCAGCTGGGGCCAGGTTGAAGTGCGCCGCACCCCTTGGTTCGACTTCTTCGTGCTCGAGGAACGTCTCAATGCTATGCGGCTGGTCTGGTCTCTGATGAACTGGCTAATGAGAAAGCCAGAGGATAACGCCGAGGAAGATGTCAAGATGGTCGATGCATAAGCACATTAGGATCATCATGTGCAGGCAGCGTTTGGACAGAAGCTTCATTTCTCGGGCGGTGTAGACGCCGTACACAGCCGTCATCCACTAGATGAATATTAAAAGAAATTATGAATGGTTGCGTTTATGATCTTCGTGACCTGTCACCAGTGTGCCATAAACCAAGTATCAAAGGCGGCTATTATGACTCAAAGATTTGAACATGCATATGAAGTGGTTGTTGGTGCGAAAAGAGGAAAGAGGACAAAGGCTGGATGGACCACAGAGCCGACAGCCACTGATTGTCATGAAGGTACAACCCAGTGGGAACGTGCCATTTGGCAAACATGGGCAACGCACCGGATACCTCGGTCCATGTCAGGCGTTGAAGTCCAATCTCGCAATGGATTTAGGTCCGCCCTCCGATATCGACATCGTTCACTCGCGGTCCTCGCTGAAACGTGTCTCTAGCATCGTCAGATGACTTCGGACGTTTCTCATCAAGAAGGCCGCCAACAAACCATTGGCTTGGCTCACCTCGCCTTGATAAAGTCCATGCAGCTACTGAATAAAAGTCGACGCTCATGAGCATACTTTGCGAGAGCCAGCTTCGGTGTATACGGCGTGTGTGTTGCGCGTGCGTTCGAGTACGTACAAGGCCGCGAGAAGCGTGTTGCAACCATCACTTGTGGAGTTTGAGTTTCTGTTTTGGCCAAGGGTTCCCTCGAGATACAATTGAGTTACGCGTAATTCAGCTTGTTTGGAACAGGTTCCAGCACGCATTGTGGGGTGACACTTCGTCGTGGCCTGAAGACGCACACATCGACCACCATTCATTTTGACTTTCCAAGCTTCGGCCAAAGCCCGTCTAGGGGCGCATATTGATCTACGACGCTTCTGCAACCTGCGAGATAGCGATGGGGGCCGCAGGTCGTTCACTTGGTAGTTCAAGGAGAATTACTGCTGCGCGTTAGTTGCGTCGGGGGTCATGGAGTGCGACAAAGCCCGATAATGCACTTCTGTCCAGGTCACTCAGCCAGAAGCTGAATGTCGGTTCTGGTTAGACAAAGATGCTCCCGTGCTATGGGCCGGGTTCGAGAACTTTCAAAATGTCTGACCCGACGCCATGGAACTGGCGTTGATCGACAACGGAGATTCGAGCTGGCCGACATTATTCCTTCTGTATGATCAAAAAAAGTGTGATATACATGCGAGCTCCAGCTGGCTGCAATGAGTTGCTGTCGCGGAATCGGTGCGTCGCCCTCTTGGACATCACGTCGTTGAGAAGATGCAGTACACTATGCGATGAAGCTGGTTGATGGCACACAATGCCTCGCAGTGGCTGGGAGGCTGAGATCGTTTCGGCAGAGCCTCTCACTCTGGAAGTGATACCGAAATTCAGAGCAACTGGGCAAGACAGCCGTAGATGGACATGGGCTGACGCTTGCCAAGCCTTCCCCGAACATGTCTCGTTACTCGTTGTCTAAGGAATGGCGTCGACATCTCGAGGACAACGCTCGACGGCGGGCGGGCTTGAGGTCCGGCAAGGGAGGTGTTTCAAGCCACCTCTGCGAGAGTGCGACAAGCGACACTGGCTCGCAGGCGGACGAAAAGCGGGAGGGTGCAAGGTTCCCGAGTAGGCGGGCCAGGGTCTAGGTGGCTTGACGATACGACGGGCGAGCCGTCATAGGGTGGCACAACAGCCTCGCAAGTAGCTGTTCGATCTTGTCGTTGGATGCCACAGAATGCGTGACGGTGACAGCCCAATGCCACGAGGCTTGGAGGCGTCGGGGCAGCATTCTCTGGACGTAGGGCGATGCATGCGGGTTGGAGACACGATGGTTTGGATGTATAATCTCGTTAGCTCGCACGGCCAGAGTCCCAGTAGGCTGGTCATAGAGGTGGTGCCGTGCCGCCGCGGAACCAATGCTTTGGGTCAAGACGCCGAGAAGGTTCAACGGACATTGGCGGCGGCCTGGCGTGCGTTGTGGACTGCATGGTCTCTCGCTCTTCTCGTAAACCGAGAACTTCATGTCCAATCAAATGAAAATTTAGACTATGACGACAACGGCGGCCCGAGCTGCTCGAGCTGTTCGGAGACAAAATCGCGTGTCTTGTGTCCGCGTTGCCGATGCATAGGTTGCGCCCTTCAGACATATCCGTAGACCCGGGCAACTAGTGGCCACGAAAGGTTGACGTCGCCATTCTTGAACCAGTCAGACAGATGAGTCGCTAACATGGCGCAAGTCTTCAAGGTCTACAAGCCGAGGACTAACCCTTAACGTCTCGCGTGCAGTCAAGCGGCAATCATTCCTCGCGAGCGACTTGCTCCTCATTGCGTTTGCAGATGCTGATGCCCACCGTCGTCGCGGCCAACGCCAGCGTAGAGACATTGTGTTGTCTCGGACGGGATAGTTGGAAACTTGAGCGCCGGTGGATAGCATCGCGTGCTGCAGCATCTTGGACCCCAACGACAGGGGTTGGTGGAAAGGGATTGCAGCCATTCGCCAGATGCCCCAAGCAGTCAGGTACGCCACAATGATCGGCAATCCCGTGGCCATACCACTTCGGGATCCGGGAAAATAGACTGCGTACCTCAAGCCTATCGACCACAGCATCGGATCTCTTGCAGCGCCTAGCGCCGAGGCTGTAGGGCCGGCGGGAAGAAAATAAAAATAAAAATTAACGGTCCTAACGACACGCACGCGGCCTGTGGCATTTCGATAGATTGATTGCCTTGACAGTTTGGAAGGGGACCCAATGGTTTGATCGAGACAGCAATAAGACCAAGACGAGGGTAGGTGCAAAAGACAAAAGCCTCCTGCTCGTGATGTACGCATGCAACGCTGGCAGCTCGGCGCATGGTTTCTAGACTACGGACTCTCCGTGAAGAAGTTGGCGACGTGATGTTTTCTGTGGATTGGCGACAAGGGTTTATGTCTAGTTTGGTGGGCCAGCAAGGCTGGTGACCAAGGCATGTTTGTCGTGGCGGGAAACAATGCGGCGGTCGACTGACACCCTGGTACCTGGTAGGCGTCCAGCTTAAAGGTGCCCTCAGCAGGCTGAATATTCAGGCCGTCAAGGGCAGAGATAATAGAAGAAGCGCAGGTTAACAGCAGCTTATTTCTCATCAAGCGGCCGTCTTTACTCAAAGTAGTTATGGTTATTCACCAGCCACGATTGATAGGCGCAGACACTTCCGCATCTGCTTTGAATTCTCAGCTAGACCGGGGAAAGGGTTCAGCAGCCCCAGGTGGAGAGCCAGGGCCAAGACTTGAGCTCAGCAACCAGCGATAGGAAAGTCGAAAGGCTAGGGTTCGGGTTAGAGGAAACTAGGTTCTAGACACAAGCGCGCCTGAGCAGGTAACGAGTGAGACTAGGCGGTTTGTTATAGCAGACGATAGAACAGCTTCAAGGGTCTCAGGAAGTTAGAGAGACGTCGCTTCTGAAAACATTAAGGACCGGGAAGAGGAATCGTGGTTATTACGGCTGAGGCCGGGCCTGATGATACACCGAGTAGGAACAGGAACAGCAACAGGATCAGGAACGGTGGAGCCTTACGCCACGCCACGCCGCGCCATGCCATGTCATGCTGTACCATATCATACCGCTGGCGCAGGCGTGGAGGCTCAGCAGAAGACGGGATGCGGCACTGGAGCAGAGGTCGTGGGTTTGTCGCAACGGTTGCACGTCCAACAACACAGCGCGGTGCAGCTGGCGGCAGCGGAGGCCAGAAGTGCGGACCGGCCTAAAGAGGGCTGGCGCCTGTGGAACCCGCCTTTCTTTCGGCTCTCACCGGGATGGGAAAGGTCTTGGTATGGCCAATGCGTATCCGTACGGATAGTCGCCTTGTATGTGCCTTACCTTACCTTAGGTGCTTAGGTACTCGGACCCACCTCCGCTAGCAGATGCTCTTGGGCTTTGAGCCGTTCCTTCCGTCCAAATCCAATCGTGACTGCCGTGACAGCTTCGTCGGTAGGCACATGCCGTCCGCTTCCTCGGCGCCTGCGATAATTGCCCCAGCATTACGTAGACTTGGGTTGTTAGTGCTTTGTCATTACACTGTACCTTACCTACCGGTGCCGGTTTTCATCCCACCTTGCTTGCTATCTAGGTACCTACCTACCTTACCTTACGGTTTACCTACGCCATAAGGTATTCGTGCAGACATGAAGATCCGTGGGCAGCCATCTGCTTAGTGTTGCCTTGGGTACCCCACCTTGCTGCCCTGGCCTGGCTATCTTCGGTCGTACATGTTTCCCGCGCGTCAGCACCCCCCGCCAAACAATTTACACAACCTTACCTAGGTAGCTCGAATACCATCCATCCATGGATACCTACTTACCGCGCCAGCTGTGGAAAAAGATCCCTCCTCTTCCTCCACCACCAGCACCACCTCAACGGCACGCCAGCGTCTGTGCCTATACTTGTGCCTGTGCCTTCGGCTTGCCTTGACCTCTCGACGTCGGACCTCTCGACGTCGGACCTCTCTACTTCCTCCCGATTTCCATCACGTCGGGTTGCACATTCCTCACTCTACATTCCACATTCTTCCACGCATCATCACTGTCCACCAAACCGAATCCTGTCCTGCGCCCTCGCTAACCTCCTCGTCCGCGTTTTTCCTTCCACACACCACTGTGCGAGCTAATACTCTGCCTGTGTCGTCTTCTCTGCTGCCATTCGACAATCCTCCAGGCTCGTCTCCCTCCCAGCCTCAGTTGCTGGAATACCACCAGTCTTTGCATCAACAGGCGCCTACCTCGACCGAATACGTCCTCCATCCCGATCCGTCCCTCGCCCAAGCCGACTCCCTCAACCGCCAGCCGAAGCAAATCCAGCTAGCAATACCGCCTACCATCCAATCCACCCTTGCTGCATGACCCATCTCCCGCTTTAAGGTAGGCTTGTCAGCTAGTGCCCTTGCTGGCGCTATCAAAAAATACTCCCGTCGCCATAGCTCGAACCGTTCTCGCTCTCACCAACCGCTGACATTGGTCCCGTTGTCACTCGACTAGTCCCAAGACCCAAGCACGCGCATCTGCCTCCCGCACGACCTACCTTGTCCTCCTCCAACTTCCTCGCTCCCCCCCTCGCCGTCTCTCGATCGAAATCGTCGCAAATCCTATAAGAAACTCCAACTCCCCGGTCCGTTTTGCTTTGTGCAGATCTTCGTCCAGAACACTTCGTCGAGCTTTCGTTCTTGAGACGCCTACCGGGCGGACCGTCTGACCGAAACCTACCCAATCCAAGGACCATACCGCCAGGATGTCTGGGTATCCGGGTCACTACGGAGGATATCAAGGTGGTCCGCCTCCTCAACAGCAATATGCGCCTCCGGGCGGTTACTACCCGTATGGCTCAAGAAATCTCCCTGCACACGCGTCCACGCTGACATCTTGTCGCAAAGCCCGCCTCAACAAGGCTACAATGGATACCCTCCCCAAGGGTCGGCGTACGGCTATCAACAGCCTTCTCCTCAACCATACGGATATAATCAAGTACGATTCACAACTCTTCTCAGTCTCCTGCTTCATCAACTGATATGCCGCTCAGCCTCCTCCTCCTCAGCAATATGGCGGCTACCCGCCTCAGCCAAATTACAACAACCGTCCTGGTAAGTCCCGCAGAGCTCTGAGAGAGCTTTTGTCTCGTTACGAGCCAATGTGCTCACTTTCCACAGGGATGCCCACAGTGAACTCGAACGCGTACATGCATGGGAATCACAATGCTCCGCCGCCGCCGCCGAGTCAACCACAGGGATTCGGTCATGGTGCTCCTAATGGCTACAATTTTCAATATTCCAATTGCACTGGTCGGAGAAAGGCACTTCTGATTGGCATCAATTATTTTGGCCAACGTGGCCAGCTGCGTGGATGCATCAATGACGTGAAGAACATGTCAGCTTACCTTGTGGAACGATTCGGATACAAGCGAGAGGACATGGTCCTCCTGACAGACGATCAGCAGAACCCTATGAGCCAGCCGACGAAACAGAACCTGCTCAGAGCTATGCACTGGCTGGTGAAGGACGCGAGGCCGAATGACTCTCTTTTCTTCCACTATTCAGGTATGCCGGTATACGGCACGAATGCTGTCTCATATGCTGACGCGCGCAGGTCACGGCGGTCAAACCAAAGATCTTGACGGTGATGAGGACGACGGGTATGATGAGGTCATTTACCCCGTGGACTTCCGCCAGACCGGTCACATCACGGACGATGAGATGCACAGGATCATGGTGCAGCCGCTACAAGCTGGTGTGAGGCTCACAGCCATTTTCGATTCGTGTCACTCCGGTACTGCCCTCGACTTGCCGTACATTTACTCAACCCAGGGTATCCTCAAGGAGCCCAACTTAGCCAAGGAAGCTGGCCAAGGACTTCTTGGTGTTATTTCATCATACAGCCAAGGCGACCTTGGTGGCGTTGCAAGCAACATCATGGGCTTCTTCAAGAAGGCCACCACCGGAGAAGACGCCCACAATCGCGCAATGGCTACGAAGACATCTCCAGCAGATGTCGTCATGTTCTCGGGAAGCAAAGACGACCAGACCTCGTATGGCCCCCTTTTCTATTTCATCTCATGATACCCTTGCTTTTCTTTCTGTAATCTGAGCCACCTCGTCATCGTATTCCTGCTGGGGTAGGCTCCTATGTTTGAGTTCACGTTTCTCCGGGCGAGAAGGCAACAAGCGAATTGTGCAAAGCGAGGGACTTGGGTGGCTGTTCTTGTCCATATTCACGGGACCACTGTAGTAGACCAGCGATGTCACACACGCTCTAGAGCAAGGCGCAACCGTATTTGCGGTGCAGCATTGTATCTAGGGCGACGAGTCACGTTGGGTCGTTTCTTGTACCTCAAGCCGCAAGTGTGGCAGGGAACCAACATTGTCTCTTTCCCCTGTGCACCTGCAGGACTTGAACACTAATCTGTAACTTAGGGCCGATGCAACGATTGCGGCTCAAGCCACTGGCGCCATGTCTTGGGCCTTCATCACAGCTCTCAAGAAGAATCCCCAGCAGAGCTACGTACAGCTTCTCAATAGCATTCGCGACGAACTTGCCACTCGCTATACGCAAAAGCCGCAGCTGTCTTGCAGTCACCCTCTGAGTATGCAATATCGCGCACGTATGAAACACCCATGCTAACGCGGCACGAAAGACACCAATCTTCTCTTCGTCATGTAATATACCCCACGTAACGGCCGGTCCGCCCTGTATATGTCCTTGTTCCCTATTTCGGCCTCGAAAGACTATCATCAGGTTTGAAAGACGTGGTAGGTGGACACGGCAATCATAACGGAAAGGGAAAGGTTGGGTTGGCGAAAACTGGAACTTTGGGTATTCTGGGAAATGCTTTTGCTGTTGGCAACCTCGCTTGGTTGTTGCCTTGGTGGTACAAGACACAGTGTATCCCTCCCTCATTCGGTGGCTCGTGAAAATGAATTTCACAAAAGCTGCTTGGGCCATCCGGACTCGATAGTGCGAAGAGAAGTGTGAGAATCTGGACTTGCTTAGTCCGGAGCGAAGCTTGCATGCGGGACCGCATGTATTTCGGAATCCAGAAAACCAACTGTCTAAGGTATCTATGGTTGATGCAGTCTGTTCTCCACCATGCCGCACTGGGAAACAGGCAGAAAATAAGAAAGAGACAAACGAGTAAAGCAACCAATCCAGACTCCCGTTTCTCCATCCCGTTACCAATCCAATCGACCCCGACCAACCAACAGGAAACCGTTCTGTATGCATTGCCAGCATTGCCCAGCTGGACAAATGAGAACGGTGATGGGTAGTAGTGAACAGCGAGCCAATAATCGTCCAGAGTTGTGTTGCCCATCAAAACCCCCAGCCACCTGTCCTGTCTGTCCCCTTTGAGCTAGCCCTTCTCCAAACCGCCATCATGGTCAAATAGGGAAACAGGGTCGCAAACCAAACACCTTTTCGTTCGTTCGCTCCCGATGCTACGTCAAGGGTCTGCAGCAATATGCAATACTACAAGGGGGAAAACACAACGACCAAATAAAAACACCGTGCTAATGCGGATATGCGTGAGGGGATGCCCGATCATGCCGCTGCATCTTCAGCTCGGCTGCAACGCGGCCCAATCGAGAGAGAGAAAGAGAAAGGCACTATTGAGATGATCCCTTTGAGCACTTGTCGCCATCCCTCATCACCTTTCTCAGGACCATCTGTGGGCAGATTTTCCATTAGGCCTCGACGTGGCCTGTTGACACCACCTTGAGCTGCTTCCTCCTCTTGGTCTTGCGCATCTCGTCGACGCAATCCGCCAGTTTACGGCGCGTGGCTTCGTGCTTGGCCCACTCACGCGCAGAGATGCGCATCCGGGCAATGAAGCGCGCCATCGTCGCCACCGTCTTGAGCGTCGGTCGCCCGGGACCGGCGCCGCCGGTAGTGCCCTTCTTCGCGAGCGCCGAGGATGTCGGTGGCAGAGGTCGGCGGCTCCCAAGCAGGTCACACCGAATCTGCTCCAGTTCGCGCAGCTGGGCCTTGTTGCTGTAGTTTGACTGTCAGTATGGGAGACGAATGGCGTAACGGCTAGCAGACTGGGGGAAACGTACCATGCATTAGCAACATCGAGCTCCAGCTGCAAGAACTTCTTTGCGTATGCAGCATCCGCACGCAAGCTGACCTCCCGCTTCCACCGTGCCTGCATCCACTCCATCTGTAGGGTCATGCCGCGAAGCTCCTTGGTGTGCTTCGCATCCGCATTCTCGGCTGCCCGGATGACAGTCTCGAGTGCCTCGTCCGTCTCTCTCATTCTCTCATCGATGAAGTGGACGTTGCGCTGGTCCTTGGCGTCTGAGGCAGCCTGAGACTTGAGGTCGCGGATATCCTTCTGCAACTTCTCAGCAGTCACGCGGTAAGCTGCGCGTTCGCTGCGAGCCCTTTCCAGTTTGCACCGGAGCGACGCCTCAGCGGCCATGAGGGTGTCAATGGTCTCCTGCTGCTGGATCACGTCGTGTTCCAGTGCATCAGCCTCTGACTGTGTCCTCCGGAGCATATTTTGGAGACCCTTGCGCTCGGAAGATGACATGTTGCCGACGTCACGGCGGCTATGGCCGGCGATTTGGCGATCCTGCTCAGCTCTCTCGAGCTTCTGCTTTAGTCTGCCCAAAGCTTTCTCGTGAAGGGCAGCGGCTTCTCCAGACTCCCGCTCCGCATCATCAAGAGCCTGCTCGAGGGAAAGCTTTTGATCTTCGAGTTCTTCAAGTTGGGTCTGGAAGTCTCGCTCGAGTTGTGTCGCCCTGCGTTCGGCGTCGCGTGCCTTTGTCTTCAGGTCGTGGATGGACTGCTGTGCCGAAGACAGTTGGTGGCGAAGCTCCACGACCTCGGACTTCCTAGCCGAGGGGCTTGATGACGCTGGTGACATTATCAGGCGGGACATTTCAGCATCGTGGGCTTTGCTCTCGAGCTCTGTGATTTGCTTCTTGAGGCCTCTGACGACGTCCTTGTGTGCTGCCTCACGTTGAAGGTATTCCCTCTCCTTCTGCCGCGCGGTTGAAAGATCGCGGCGGATGAGGGATATTTCGCTATTACCTTCACCCGGGTTGTTGGCGGGCAGTTGTTGTGTCATCGCCAACTGATCCTCGTAATCTTTGATACGGCGCTCAAGTTCGCGGATGGTGCGTCTTGTAGCAGCGGATTCATGACCCTCCGACGAAGAGACTTCCCGGAGCTTGACCTGGAGTTGACGAATCTCCTGGTTGAGACGATCCTCCTCTTCGGCAGCCTTCTCAATCTCCTCTTCGAGAGACTTCTCGGCCAGCTGCATCTGGTCCATCAAGATCTTATTCTCATCCTTGAGTCTTCGCACCTCGTTGTCCAGCTTCATCTTGGCTGTCCTCAGGTCCAGTCGCTCCCGGTCGACGCGTAGTGTCTCCTCGCCATTGTTGTGCATGCGTTTCATCTCACTGTCGACCTCGTCTCGTTCTGCTTGTGCCTCGGCCAAAGAGCTTCGCAAAGAATGCATCTCAAGGTTGAGATTTGCAAGTTGATCCTGGAGTGTCTGCTTCTCGCGAGAGACCTTAGTTGCCTGGGCAGTTGAGTCCAAAAGCTGTTTCTGCAATTGATCTTGGAGGGATTCCTTCTCCCCATTCAACTTGGACACGAGAGAGGTTGCTTCGTCAAGCTGCGCTCGGAGGCGGTCGATTGTCTGGTTGGACTTCGTAGCGTTTTCCTGTGACGTCGATGCTGAGCCTCGAGCTAGATCTGCTGAACGGCGAAGCTCATCCAGTTGTTGATTCAGTGCATCGCATTCTTTCCTAGCCGCCTCCAGTTCCTCCCGAGAGTGCTCAGATTCCTCGTCCAGAGTCGTCTGCAAGACTTCGACTTCGTCCTCCAGTGCCTCAATTCTCTCTGTCTGCGCTTGGTAGTCGAGCTGCGTTTGACGGAGTTCGTCCTGGACCTGGGAGAGCTCGTTGCGCAGGTCCGTAAGCATGGCTTGCCGTGTCTCGAGGTTTTGCTGGAGATCATCGATTTGTCGGCTTAGAGATGCCTGCTCGTCTTTGTGGCGCTGGGCTTCGCTCTCAAGAGCTTCCTGTAATCTTGATTCCTTTGACGACAGGTTACCCTCTGCTTCGCGCAACTTTTCGATAGTTCGCTCTAGCCCGGCCGCCTTTTCTTCCGCCCGTTCTCGTCCAGACTCCAGCGTTTGACGGTCAGTCTCCCATTTTTCACTATCATTATCGTAAAGGTTATCCTTCTCGCGAATCTCGGCTTGTAGATCGGAGATGTCGTCGTTGAGTCGGTCGATCTCGCCCCTGTACTGACTGCGAATGTCACGTTCAATCTCCAAGGCATGGTCTCTCTCCTGAGCGAGACTCTCTTCCAGTTCGTCAACAGAGTGCTGAAGGCGTTCCACGTCGCGTTGTAAAGACTTTGACTCGTTTGTCAATGCGTCGTGCCGAGTCTGCAACAGGTTCTTTTCGTCCAATGTTTGTTGCAATTCGCTCCGAAGGTCCTCCACCTGATTGAGTAATGACTGGTGCTCCCGATCGGAAAGTGCACGCTCCTGGCGGCCCTCCTGAGCGGCTGCCTTCAGTTCATCTTTCTCTCTGGTGATCTCAGAAAGCTGCTTCTCGATCCTTCCAAGTTGTGATCGGTTTTCTCGGTCTGCAGCTTCGCGTTTGCGGAGGCTTTCTTTGGCGGCGGCTTTGAGGCTGTCATTCTCCTTGACAACGTCGGACAGTTGCTTCTCAAGATCCGCGAACCTCGTGTCTGCTTCTTCCAGCTCAGTCTGTAACCGCAGAAGCTTCTCTTCTTTCTGGCGGGAGAGGCCCTTGGTCATGACAGATTTGTTCGCCAATTCCTCCTGAAGCTCATCGAGGTCGCCCTTGGCCTGCTCCTTGTCCGCAATGGCCTGGTTCAGCTTGCCCTTCATTTCGTCGACTTGCTCCTCCAAGCGGCGCACGTTCGTTTCCAGGTCGTCAATAATATCTCTTGCATCATCTAAACCGTCCTTAGATTGCGCATTCTGCTCAAGCTCGATCATCCGTCGTTGTGTATCCTTCATCTTGTCTTCCATATCCTCCAACTTGGACTTGAGGTCGTCGATTTCGTCTTCATGATCGCCGATGATGCGGTCCTTCTCGCGGATCTCGGCCTCAAGATCGCCAAGTTCGTCCTGGAGTTTATCCACTTGGCCTTGGTCTTGTTGATCCCGATCCAGTTGGCGTTGCATGTCGTCAAGGTCGGCTTCCCTGTCCTCCAAGGCGCGTTGCAGGCGCTCAATCTCGGCCAGCTGCTTTTGGTCCGCATACTTCTTTTTGGCCTTCTCCTGCAGCTCCATCATTTGTTGACGGTAACTCTCAAGGTCCTTTTCCGCCGAAGTCAAATGCTTTTTGTACTTGTGAAGCTCCCTCTGCATTGTCACTTTGTCGACCTTGAGATCCGTGTTCTCCTTCAGAGCGGCCTCGCTAAACCCGGGGCCGGCCTTCCGCAGAGCCTCCTCGAGGAAATGGATCTTCAACTTGAGGCCAAAGTTTTCCTTCTCGATCTTATCGATGACGTTCTCCTGCTCTCGTAGCGAGAGTTGATTACCATCCTGCAACGGGCCTTTGCCATCTCGACGTGGTAATACGACTAGCGGTGTAGATGTCGTGCTTGTACTGTCGACTTCGGGGAGCGGTGTGCGGTCCGCAAAAGAACGGGATTGGTACATGGAGGTGTCGATATTGGGAATTGGCGTCATGTCTCCATCGAGCTGATCGAGTGCAGGTGTGTTGGGCACGGCACCGTTCTCCTTGCCGAAGCCGCGGCGCGCGCTATTTCTTGTTGCAGACTTGAGCATTGGGGTGAACTCTGCCCCTCCCAGCCCTGCAGGCAGGTTCTTTCGGTCCATGAAGGGAGCGCGACCCCGCGGGGTGCGAAGGTTGATGCCGCCAGAACGGCCATTGCGCAATTGCTGGAGCAAGTTGTTGCTGCCTTTTGCCGGTGACTGGAAGGAGGCTTCTTGCGAAATATCGAAGTCTGGCTGTCTGAGATATGTCGCGTCGCCAACGTTTGTGCGCGGCGTGTCGAGGCCGTCGACGCCAGGTTGGACCATCTCGACCGCGTTCGACTAACAGAGGGGTGAATGGATGCGCGAGTTAGAAATGTGGTCTCGTGGTAGTGAACATGGCAGTAATTTGGGGAGCCGAAGGTAGGAGGTCTGAAGAGCAGGCGGTGATACAAAACAAAGCAAGCAGGGAAGCGAAGCGACGTAGAGCAGGAACTGCGCGATAAGAGCAAAGCTTGGATCGTGATAATTAGAGCCCGGTCAGTCGCGGTGTTGAAAGTGGGATTTGAGGTGTACCCTGGACCCAAGGGTTCGCGGTCATCGGGTTGGCGCGTTGTTGTTTACTGGATACCTGTTTGGGAATAGCGCAGGTACACTTCACTTTGCTGGGGGCGCCCGGGCACGGTTTTTTCCCTCCAGCCTTTGTGTGCCCAATTGCTTTCGGCCCACGCTCAGCCAATCACAGTGTGTTTGCCTCCCCGCAGCGCATGCTCAATGGTCCCAGCAAGTTGGGTCCACTCTTTTCTTTTTTTCCCCTTCCGCCAACGTCAACGGAAGGTGGTGGGAGCAGCGAAGTGGAGCCCTGTGTGTGGCGGGCACCTTATGCGACCGCCACAGCTTGAGACACTCGAGGTGCGAGAGAGACTTTGATTTGTGATGCAACCACTCAGCCGGGAGCGGCATTCCAAAGTCAACTTCATCACCAATGTCGCTTCCCCAAGCCACCGTTGCAAAGGACTTTTGATACGAACAACCTGGCCTTTAACTCACCCTCCTCGAAATCAGGGACGTTCAAATTACGCCTGCACCTTCCCTAGCAATACGCGGGCGCTACCTAGTATAAGTCTTGCAGACTCCGCCGCATGCACTGCCGTCATCCGTTCCGATCTTCGGGTTTCCGACGGTGAGGCATTGTGCGTGGCCCATGGCCCCTCCCGCCGCCATGCTCTCTCTCGCCCAGGTCCCGGATGAGATACTTCTCCAGATCCTTCACTACGTCTCAGCAGAGGACAACCTGCTCTCTGTTCACCCTTCATCAAGACGCTTACACCATCTCGCCAACGAGCCTATCCTATGGCGATACTACTGTCTGCACTCATTCAAGTATTGGCACCCGGAACATCAGTTTCGCGATAAATTACTAGAGCCGGCCTCAAGGGTATCCTGGAAGCGTCTTTTTCTCTGCCGTATGCGACGTAACGCTAGAGTTGCCAGCCTCTTCGACGGGGTCCTGACAACTAAGCATGGCCGGGTTCAGAAATTTGAAGAGATATGCCTGCTGGGGCTCGATGCGAAAGACTTCCTCTTAAATCAAGCACAGACGCCTGAGCTGGCCGAAGATGTCTTATCTCGGAGGTATGCTACAGGCGAGAGTTTGACATCGGATTGCTGTTGGCTGACTTAATCGGCATCAGGTACTTTAGCAACGCAATGCTCGCCAGCATTCGTCGGGGCGTCGCCATTCAAATATGGGACAGCTTACGGAGTTCGGAAGCAGAAGAAGCATGGAGAACTGACCAGACCCCAACGGTCGTCCCTCGTAGGCTGGAGCGTGCCCTGGCTGCGTTTGATATGTTTGTCCTCCCGGATGACGTTGGTGACGTTGACGATGTAAAGCTCTCCCAGGCGCCTTTGTGGCTGCTGGCTGACAGACCATAGGTTTCCAAAACATTGAATGGGCTGGCAGATGACTTCATCACCGACCACCCAGACTTCGGCGGCATGTGCATCCGCGATCAGGCATTGGCATTGAATAGATGGCTAAGATCAAAGAATTTGACCGGCATGAGCAATCCGGAAACAAATTATCGCAATTTGCGAAACTGCCTCATCGGACATGCGCTGCGCGATGAAGCTCATCAATCACTACCTATGGTGTCGGCCGCCATCTTCTGCTGCATTGGAGAGAGACTAGGCATCAACGCTCACTGCTGCGCTCTCCCGGGACATGTGCTCGTAATGGTGTTTGCCACCAAAGATACAAGACTTGACGGGTCTACGTTGACAAATATCCAGAAGCCGCTTGAGAGAATGTATCTGGACCCATATGGGGGCGACGAAGAGTTCAGCAAAGAGACTCTTCGGCACTTTATATCTCAGGTGGGATGGCGTAGCCTAGATGTCGACACAATGGCGCCTGCAGCAGTGTCGACAATGATCGGGCGGTTGGCTCACAATATTCGGCATACAAATCTCGTCATGACTTCCCAAGACGTTTCGATTGAGAGACTCGCCGGGCTAAGGACCGGTACACCTCTTCAGAACATGGAGTTATCTGTGTACGCCGCTGCATGGGCAACAACACTGCTCGATCCAGGAGCGTTTGTTGACGTTACGTCGCACTTCGCACTCCGTTTCAACTCCTTGAGGTTTGATGATGCTTGGCTGGTTGAAAAGATCTATTTCAACCGTCCTCAGCCCCATGGAGATGTCTTCCTGGCCGCGCCTAACCCGGAGTATATACTTCGACTGATAAGACGGGCCGATGAGCAGCGGCCCGTACTCCGCGAACCCCAGAATCACATGGAATACCAAATTGGGCACGTCGTCAGACATGGCAGGTACGGGTTTGTGGCAGTCGTCATCGACGGAGAGGTGCCGCCTTCAGGGTCAATTCTCTACTACAGGCTGTTGTGAGTTTCCTCCTAGACCTTTTGAGTGGAGAGTAATGCGCCAAGACTTACACCCAAGAAGAACACCTCCGAACATGCAGGGAACCTTTTCCCTTGTTAAAGCCTCAAGCCTCGAGCTTATCCGGGATCCAGACGAGGCGGCAGGCGCCATGTTTACAGACACAGGACTCTTTTTCAAGCGGTTTGATCGGAAAAGCTGCAGGTTCATTCCATCGAATGATGAGATGGTTTACACGCCACTGTGATAAGTGGAATCAATGTCCTCAGGCCAGCACATTGTCCGAATTGAAGCAATGCAAACTTTTTAGCCGAGGTGTTTATCATTGCTCCCATATGTCTTAGACCATAGAATGGGTGCCTCACTGGATGCTCTTGTGTTCTGGATAGACATAGCTCTATCCAGCGCATCCGTCTATCACTTTGCCCACAAACCAAACGCCTACGCAGTGCAGACTTCCCTCAATTCTTGTGAACTCCCAACTCCTGAGTCGCGCCCCAAAAAATCACAGATTAGCAGCCCAGTCGGCAAGAACTCCATGGTCCGCAAGCTTTTGCACCCATTGGTGGATCGCTAGCGTGTGATCCTTCTGCCGTCCATGTACGCGATCTTCGTCTTCCTTCATGAAGGCGATCTCCCCGTTATATTCCCCCATCAAAGACTTCTGCGTCATAACCAAATCACTATAGACCTCGAAAAGCTCCATTGCCTCCATAGAAGGGTTGTTGAGCTTCCTCTCTAGGTTTGAATTCATGGCTGCTCGTTCGATATCTTCTCGCTCGATCCCAAACCCAGCAAGACGATCTTTCTCGTCGGCCCTCAATGGTTGGTCGTTGCCAGCAACTAAAGTCTCCCATTCGGCGAGGTGTTTGGTGCGACTGTTAAGTACTTCAAAGGACCGAATTGTGCTCGCAAGTTTCCCAGATATGAGGGCGAGGGGATTCTTGCAGAGGGCCAGGAGATTGAAAGAGAGTGCGCTTTCTTCGAATTGAAGCATGCGCGCCTGGATGTCGGGACGAACCAGGTTTGTCCAGTGGACGCCGTCTTCCAGTGGTCCAAGACAAACCGGTCGAGTTTTGAGGCCGTCAAGCTCCCACACCGAGCCATTAGCTGGAACGTAGGCGATGAAGTGGTATCCCGATTCGGAGTTGACCTTCTGCTTCTTTGTCTTCCTGGCCTTGGCCGGCCCCCTGCGCTGCTTTTTCTTCGACTCGCTGGCTTCGTTTTCAAGAAAGAGATCTGCATTTAGGTGGTCCATTCTGCGGGTGAAAGAGTTATGTACAGAGCGTATGAACGTGTTGGAGCTGAGGGCATGACCGCGGAGCGGTGTACTGAGATGACTCGTGGCGTCCTTGAACTCCTGAAGCTTCGTGCCGAGTTCGACCCCGGCGCTATTCATCAAGATGTTGGTCAGGGCAACCGTGGCACACGCGTTGTCCGTCGTCTAAGAAAACGGTCAGTCAAACACTGTGCAAAGGCAATATCATGGGCACAAACCTGATTGGCGAACCAGAGATCTCGCCCGTCAACCACTTCGTCGTCCTCGTAATTCTCCGAGAAGTATTGGTATAGAAAGATGAACCCATACACGGGCTGGGGCATAGTTGCGACGTAGTCTTCGTCAACGGAAAAGACCTCTTGGACCTTCACATCTTTCACGCCCATCTCTCGGATAATGGCGTTGAAGAACGCCTATGCTGAAAGGTCAGGTCTCATACTGCAGGCAGAGAAAATAAGACACGCACCGGTTCCGACTCCACCTCGCACCAACCTTCCCACTCCTGGAGCTCGTCTTTGCTGATGGGTTCCAATGCTTCCCGGAGTAAGATGTTCGATTGCCTAGCTTCTCGAGTTGCGACGGCACTCGTTGCAGTAGCGGCGGCTTCTGTTGCCTTTCGCTTAGGGTTTCGCCGGGAATTACCCATCGCTGATTCTTCCATTGCCCCGTTTGGCAACTGCTTCCTTTTTCTGGTGTTGGCGTCTGGCGTGTCGAGAATACGGAGGTCAGCCACAGCAGGGTCGACCGCTGCCCCTGGACTGGTCCCAATGTTATAGATGTCGCGCTCAACTGCCGGGGAAACATCATCGTCAGAGTTTGACCGGCAAAGGTTTTGCCCCTTCTCAACTGCGACTGGTTCCGCCTTGCGGCTTCGCAGATGTATCCGGCCCGTGTTGGGACGACCCGCTCCTAACATCGTAACGACCGGTCAAGATATCGGGATGTAGTGAATAGAGAGCTGGGGAGCGCAGGAGAATGAAGAGAGGATCCTATGAATGAAATGTGGCCAGCTCAGGAGCAATTGTGGCAAGACGGCCATATGGCGCCGGGTCGATGGCGATGTGGCAAGTAAAAAGAGAAGGTATAAAACGCCTCGACAACGCAAATGATGACGTCAAAAAAGAATCAAAACCTTTCTCGTTCATGAAACAAGGAGCTTCATGTATGCATGACATGCGGTGGGTGTAAGAGTCTGTACGAGCTTGTCTTTAACGAAGGTGGCCGAAAGAGACGCGAAGTGAAGAAAGCAACCGATAGCGTGGTTGAGTTGAGCACGAAACAGGAGGCAGAGAAGGCTGACTGTGACCGTTTCAGATGACCATATCAACTGATAAGGAATTCTGGAAATCGGTTAAGAAAGAGAAAACCATGCGTTCGACCAGAGGAAATGTTACAGGAATCGACTAGGCATGGAGAGAAAAAGGGAGGTTCATGAGGACGTACGTACCTGGCGCTTATCAGCTGAGGTATCTGCCTTAGAACGCACAGAACCAACACTATTCCAGTCCTTGCTGAGGTCGCGCACCAATTATTCTAAACGCCTTTCTTTGCTTACAATAATAAGACGTGGGTTAGATTTCGTGCTGTGTTCAGTCTAACATGGGCGGTCTATCAAAAGAAGCTCCGAAGCATGATGGCGGGGATTGAACAGGAAGGGACGACGTCAACCCAGCGCTTTCCATACCTTCCTTAGGTACCTTAGCGCAGCCGACCCCCCAGCTTTTTTGGGGGTTGACCGGGAATAAAGCTGGTTGGCAGGCTCCACTGTCTGTTTCCCCCGGTACCTACAGATGCTCGCACAGGCAAACACACCACCAAAAACCTGTAAACAGCTGTCGCCCTGTTAGTATCCGCTATTTGGCCCATGAGACGCACCGTAAGCCAATCAGAACATCCCGCGTCATCGCAAGTGGGTGTTGTTGCCGGGCGCGTTTGGACGTGACGAGCATTCACAGGAAATTTTGAAGCTCTGTGTTCAGCAGCCAGATTCTCCAGCTTCACGACGCCAAGAGTAGCTTGCATCGCCGGGCAAGCCCTTTCCATACTCCTTCGACCTTCCTTATTTAGTTGCAAGGCTTCCGTTATTCTCCGGCGACATCGACCACGTCCAACGATCGTATGAAGCGCTCCTAATTACGGCATGCGATGAGCGCAACACCGAGACAGCGGACTGGTGGTTTCCCACAAACACCAGCGACCGCGGCCCCAGGCAGATCCCGACGTCAAGATCCCGATCCAAACTCATCGGTATCCTCGCAAAAGTCCACGCGGACATCGTCATCCCTCCCCTTGGCTCCCGAGAATGCCTCGAGAGGCGCCCCTCCGTCGGAACCCGTCATTCCCCTGACAATCCTCGATGCACCGCAACAACGCACCTACGCTTGTGCGATATACATTGGCCTTTTGGCATGGAGGTTCTACGACTGGATCAAGCTTGTCGAGGACAACGACACTTCGGCCTGGCTGTTTTTGAAATGGGTCTTCATCGACTTCGGATTCCTCTTCGGCCTGCCTGAAATGAGGATACCATGGCTGGAGCTTTCGCAACCTGTTGTCATGGCTATTTTCCTCTCCCATGCCTTCTTCAACTTCATGTTGATGTTCAACGTTCCCGTGCGTCTGCCGATGCCAAGCTCCCGTCTTGGACCTTGAGCAAAGAAAAACCTTGGTTAACTAACTTGAGGTGCAGATTCCACTGCAGCCATGGCTCGTTGGCTTCATGAAGGTTTTCTACGATCGAGAAGTGGCCGTATCCGAACACACCGTCAAGGTCTCGAGCATCTTGCACAACCATTCGTTGATTATGGGAAGGCAGATCATCAACATCCTTCCGGAAGGGTCAGCCGTGCTCAACTTTGAGCAAATTCCTTTCTGCATCGGTGAGGATCGCGACACCGTCAAGCTGCCCATCCAGTTCAACTCGACCATTCCCGCCGAAATGGAGCTCATTCGCATCGACCTTGACACCAATCAGGAGGAAACGATAAAGTTGTCTAGCCGGGAGGTCAAGAAGATTGCGAAGCAGATCAAGGACCAGACGGTGGATTCCAACCCTGTCGCTGTTGCCATCGAGTACTCGGTTAAGAAAACGGGTGTCTACCGTCTTGGCAAGGTACTGGACGAGTACAAGCTTGAGGTTCAGCGCGCTACGAAGGATACCTACGTTGTCCCCTGCCCGAAAGCTGCATTCCGCACTCCCGACGATGCAGGCCGATGTATCAGGGACTTGTCGGATCTTTTCATTGACGTCACCGGAACCCCGCCGTTGAAGATTCAGTACAGCCGCAGAATCAACGGTAACGACCGCAGCTTTCACTTTCAGAGCCTGCAGCCGGATGATTACATGTCGCCCTTACTCGGTTCGCCCTCTTCACAGCTGACCCGCGGGAACGACGATGATACTTCTTGGGTGAAGCCTCAATCCGTGGCTGTGCGACTCAACGAAACTCTGGATTCCGCAGGAGATTGGCAGTATGCCGTGGATGAGGTTCAGGATGGTTTCGGCAATGTCCAGAAATACGTTCAGAATCCCGAGGAGGTTGACGTGCGTCCCCGGCCCAAGCACCTGGTGCGTAACTTCTTGGTCAAGCAGCGCCCCAAGGCTAGTCTGCGAGGGTGCGATTTGCGGAATCCCATCAAAGTAGCAAAGGACCATCGGGCCAAACTGCCAATTAATTTCTCGATACCGGAAAAGTCATCCCCGGACACTTCCCACACTTTGACCTGGGAGTTTTCGCCAGTTGATTCTCTGACGAACAGCGGAGATCATGGAAGCAAGGTTTCCATCGGTTCCTACGCCGCCAAGAACTCCCATGACAAGCCATCAGTCTTGGAGCCTGGTCTCTACACGCTCAAGTCAGTGGTTAGCGGATCGTGCGAGGGGGAGATCCAAGAACCTTCCTCATGTCTGTTGCTCAACCCTCTCGAGCCCCAGCTATCCTTGCGGGCGGAGGAGATCCCCGACAAATGCGCCGGCAACTCCGTTGGACTTCGTGTGGATTTGGATCTTATCGGGACCCCGCCCTTCCAAGTCCGGTACGACGTTGTTGATCAGAATGGCAACGTCAGAAGAGAGCGTGTCGATGTCAGCGGACTTAGACAGCAAATCGAGCTGAGGCCGACGGCTGCAGGCCACCACAAGTACATCTTCAAGCAGATTGACGATGCCATCTACAAGGGGCAACCCTTGAGCGGACCCAACATGGTGCTGGAGACGGATGTGAAGCCTGCCGCTTCTGCAATCATTCAACATCCTACGGGAGCCATCAGCGCCTGTCTTGAGGAGCAGGTCGAGGTCGATATCTTACTCCTGGGAGACGCTCCCTTCTCTTTGGAGTGGGAAGTTGTTCATGATGGCAAGCGCAAATCCGAGCGCGTCACCGATATCCAGGACAACAACTACAGAATCAAGACCAAGCCCCTGGCCAAGGGCGGCGAATACACTCTTGCCCTCAACAGCGTTCAGGATAAATCTGGCTGCCGGACCTTCCTCAAGGACGAGCTTAAGGTCTCTGTCCGACGGCAACGGCCCAGAGCAGCATTCGGTCTGGTTGAAAACAAGCGAAACATTATGGCAGTCGAGAACACCAAGGTTGATCTGCCGCTTCGTCTTCAGGGCGACGGCCCTTGGACTGTATCGTACCGCAACGTTGAAGCCGGCGATGTTGTTCTCAAGAAGACGGCGAGGAACGCCAATGAGATCCTTACTGTCAAGTCCCGCGGTACCTACGAAATCATTGATGTCGCTGACAGCTGTCCTGGCATTGTGGACCCCCAGGCATCCCAGTTCAAGATTGACTGGTATCCTCGCCCTGAGATCAAGCTGGTCCAGACTGATACCATAATTTCGGATGCAGCTGCATTTGTGAAGCGTGATGTATGTGAAGGTGATATCGATTCGTTCGAGGTCAGCCTCAAGGGTAAGGTGTTCGTCTCATTCCACAGAGCTCCGGACTGATAATTTGATAGGTTCGGCCCCTTTCCGTGTCGAATACGATCTTCGCCACAAGCCCTTCCCGGGAACTGGTTCTGGTAAGAATTCTGGATCCAGCATCCGGAAGGAATTCGATACCGCTCTCAATAAGGCATCCATTGGCATGGATACCTCGAAGCCTGGAGAATATGCGTACAAGTTCTCCGCGTTAGCAGATAATCTCTACAACAGCGACAGAAACTTCAGCCCTCTCACCCTCAACCAGCGGGTTAACGCCAAGCCGTCCGCCTCCTTCGTGAAGCCTGGCCAGTCGTTCAAGTACTGCAAAACCGAGCAAGAGAGCGAGGACACCATCCCCATTACGCTGAATGGTGTCGCTCCTTTTTACGTGGAAATTGAGATCAAGCATCACAGCGGCACTGTCCCTGAGACGTACAGAATCCCGTCCATTCAGTCTAACTCTTACGGCATCCACATCCCCAGACAGCACTTGCGCCTCGGAATCCAACATGTCCGCATTCGCGAGGTTAGAGATGCTCGTGGCTGTCAGAAGAAGTATGAAATCGGAGCGCCGACCGTGCAAGTCCACCTTTACGACGCGCCTGCAATCTACCCCCTGGAGAGCCGAGAGGACTACTGCGTCGGCGAACGTATCGCTTACACGCTCTCCGGCACGCCTCCCTTCGAGATCTGGTATGATTTCCAGGGGCACCAACGCAAGGCCAAATCGGGCACAACCAACTTCCGCCGTATCGCCGAATCTCCTGGGGACTTCACCATCACCTCCATCTCTGACAAGGCATCAGAGTGTCGTGCCTCTGTTGACATTACTAAGAAGATTCACCCACTCCCCGCTGTCAAAATCAGCAGGGGCAGACAGACTCGCGTGGATATCCATGAAGGCAACGAGGTCGAGATCCTTTTCGAGTTCTGGGGCACGCCGCCGTACGAGTTTACGTACACTCGAAGCTCCAACGCCAAGA